GAGGGAGGGAGGGAGGGAGGGAGGGAGAGAGAGGTAGTCTGGCCTTGCTATATGGGTGGCTAGCAAAGCTTAAAAGAATGAGTGTTCACTGGAACAAGACAGGCTGGAACTATGGAAGCAGCTATCTCTTCGCATAGGAGGTATCATCAGGCAAATCTAAGATCTACCTCTGGAGTGAGTAAGAGGGAGATGTCCATTTTTGGATACCCTGGCTCCACTGTAGAAAAATGTCTTGATGTCATGCTGTGTTTCAAAGCAGAAAGCCTGACAACTTCAAGGTTTCCAAATATTAGTTTACCCAAAGGAAACAATGAAATATTTCAATTAAATGAAAGCATTCTAACCTGAACAATCTTTGGTCTCTGTAAAAAGATCTCAGCAGGAAAGTCTTGCATGATAACATCTCGCAGAAGCTCACAAGTATTCCAAATTAACTTGGAATTTTTGCTTCTCAGTGAGCTGAAAAATACATGTAAACAATAACACTAGGCATTTGCTTTGCAAACTTATTTAAATCTTCGTCAGTAGCTTGGCTTTAGATTGGATAATAAACCAGCAAAATAAATAGTTTAGCTAAGCATAGTTTAAATGTTGACACATACAACATAGGTTGAGAATAGAGCTTTCTCTAACTGTTCCATGGAGCTTCCAGCAATTATCACTTCACCACATGATATCTTTGCCAATTCAATTCAATTCAACTCAATTCATTACAGTCATAGACCAGTACAAGCAGAGTGCTCTGAGAATATATTTACATCTATCTTAATAGACAATAAACAAAATAAAATTTAAGACAAAGTTAAAATACATTTATAAAACAACTTAACAAACATCTATGAGTAAGGTCCAGGATGCAGTTTATATTTAAATTATAAAGTAGACACTAAAATTTTATAAAGTATAATAATGTCTAAAATTACAAAAAGTGGTATCTAAAATTTAAATGAATTACAGTTACATAGAACGCATTTGGCTAGTGGAAAATTGGCCCATCAGGGTCTGGTGGATCTTCCGTGCTGCTGCACAAAACCTAGCCACATGGGCTGTAACAAAAGACAGTTCATCTATGAGCAGCATCTGGGCTTAGGCTGAGTCTGAGCGACCAGGATATCTACTAATCAGAGGTAGGATGAGTCTGGTTTGAATATCTCCATAAAAGTAGCAACAAAGAGGAACATGTTCTGTAGTTTCTACCTTTCTGGAATCACAGGGGCAAAGCCTTTCAGCCAATGGTAATTTTTTATATTTACCATCCAATACTACAAAGGGGAGTTCATGAGAGAAAGATTTCCAGTGGCCGAGTGTTTCTAGCTGTGTAAAGTAGCTGGCAGCAGTGATAATATAGTCTGTGACTTGCAACCATTCATTTAACAACCATTTGGAGTTATGACGGCCCTGAAAAAAGTGACATACAACCAGTCCTCCCACTTATGACTGTCACAGCATCCCCGCGGTCATGTGATCAAAATTCAACTGCTTGGCAACCAGCATGTATTTACGATGGTTGCAGCATCCCAGGGTCATGTCATTGCCATTTATGACCTTCCTAGGGGGCTTCCAAAAAGCAAAGTCAATGGGGGAAGCCAGATTCACTCAACAACCAGGTGATTTGCTTAATAGCTGTGGCAAAAAGTAAAATTGGGCACAATTCATTTAATGACCTCATAACTTAGCGACAGAAGTTCTGGTCCCAATTGTGGTCATCAGTCAAGGACTATCTGTATATCTGTTGTGTACTGGTGACAGGAAGGCTTGGGCCTTCTCTAGATCTCCTTGCTGCTGCATATCCTTTATCCTTTGCTTCAGGGTTTATTTTGCCTGATCATATTTCATCTCAAGAACCGAGGAAGGAGTAGTCTAGATTTAAAAGTTTGGATTCAACAGCCCTGATCCATGTGGATTGAAAATTGCCTTGGAGAATTAATGGTGCTAGGCCTTGAGGATAAAAGTTAAGCTTTAACCAAAGGTTTACAGAAGCTAGGATATGAGAGTGATCTAGCTGCAGCATCTGTCACCCCATTGATCACCAGGGTTGATATTTTTGCCTTCTGCAACTCATGAATTTTTCCAGAAATGAGCTTAGGCTGTTATGTAGGGAGGATAAATTCCCTGCACTTCCTTGCATAGCTACGAGCATGTTTAGTCTGTTGTTGTTTTTAGTACAGCTCTAATCCAATATAAAGTTGCCAAATTTCTAGCCACTGGGAGCTTTCAAATATTTGCTTGTTTCTTCCTCCTAGCAAGCTTTCTTGGAACCTCTAGTATAACCTAGCACTCCTTTGTGATCAGTGGGACCTGATTTCCATACCTTGAGGCTTTCCAGTATTGTTTGTCCAACAGCAAAACTCAATACAAACATAATTAAAGTAATTTTATACAACTTCAACTGTTTCTATGGATTTTTATTTATGTTTTTAATGCCATTTTTTATTAAGTACAGGTATTCCTCGCTTAACTACCCTAACTGGAACCAGAATTTCCATCGCTAAGTAAAGAGGTCATTAGGCAAAATATCACATGATCGTACCACTTAGTGACAGCTGTTCCAGTAGTCCTGACTGTGGTGGTTGGGGAGGACCTCACTGTTGTTAGGCGAGGACCTCACGCTTCTCCTGCCCTGCTGTGCTTGCCACCACTTCCCCCACCTGCTTATCTCCCCCCATCTCTTCCCTTTAGGCTGTCCTGCACACTGCTGCCACTGCCTACCCCTCCTGCCCTCTGCCATCCCCAGCTGACCTTTGCCATCTTCTTCCTCCTGCTGCTGATGAGGCATGCCTGGCTGAGGCAACTGCTGGCCCTTCGTGAGGCCGTGTGAGTGAGAGGAGGTCTCATGCAGCCTCCCAAAGGCCTTCCGAAGGGGCCGCAGCTGCCACAGCCAGGTGCACCTCATCAGCAGTGAGAGGAAGAAGACGGTGGAGGTCAGCTGGGAGCGGAAGGGGGTAAGAGGTGGCAGCGGAGTGCAGGGCGCCCAAAAGGGCAGGGATGAGTGGAGATAGGCAGGTGGGGGGAATTGAAGTGCACACTGCAGTCATAAATGCAGGCAGGCTGCCAGGTGCCCAAATTTTGATCATGTAACCACAGGAGCGCTGCAAAAGCCATAGCTTCAAGGACTGGTCATAACTATCATTCATTCAATGGCAGCATAACTCCAAACAGTCACTAAACTAATGGTTGTTAAGTGAGGACTACCTGTATTTTTCCTAATACAAATTGAATCAGAGTACGCTTACAGAAAAGCCAAGATGCATTTATTCCTTATATCAGGGTCAGGCCAACACTTTGGATGGAGCACATCCTCTTTCTCCCCTTCCTCAGGGCGCAAGGGCCATAGCTAAGGCACTGTGATATCGCAGGGCCAACTTCTTCCAGGATAGTTTTTCCACAGGAGACAGATTGATACTGGTTGCCTTACAGAGTCTGAAGGAATAATTTTGCCTATTTAAACCACAGTGTGAAAAATCAAGTTGATTTGGGAGGGAGGACATATACTATTTTGGGCATAGAGTATATTATGGAATATATTATTTATCACACAATATAACCCTAGAAACTCAACTTATATATGTATAATATCATACCCAATATTAGTAAAGTGAGATTTGCTTGCAAGAAAATGCTCAAACTGGTATTCATTTGCAAATTTGTGGCTTGTGCCATAGTCCAATATACGGTTATTTAGCAATAAGTCCCACATACTGAAAGACATACGTACAGGTATGTACAATTATGATGGCAGTTGGGATCAGAATTTCCATGGCTAAATGATGTGGTCGTAAAGTGTGACTGTACTGCTTACCAACGGCAATCCCTGCAGTCCCGATTGCCGTGGTTAACAGAATCCCATGGTTGTTAGGCAAGGCTACTTCCTGCTGGCTTCCCACAATCAAGTCAGTGGAGAAGCTGGCAGGAATTGCAAGTCCCAGGCAGCTCACAAGCAGGCCAGCAGGTAGGTAAGTGGCTGCTGCCAGGTGGGGGAGGGCGTGAGGGAATCTGCAAGGGTGCAAGGGAGGTGCGGCAAGGCTCGGGTGCATGGGGGTGAGCAGGAGTGCAAGGGAAGTATGGCAAGAGTCAGGGAGGGTGCACGAGGGAGGGACGATGAGAGTATTGAGGGAGGTGCGGTAAAGGTTGGAGACGGTGCAAGGGCATGCACAAGGGTACGAGGGAGGCGTGGTTAGGGTCAGGGAGGGTGCACAGGGGTGCGTGGGAGGCACGGTGAGGGTCAGGGAGGGTGCGCTGGGGTTTGTGAGTGGCCTGCACAATGTGAGCACAGAGGGGCTGGGGGAGGCTGCACAGGTGGGGGAGACTTACTCCAGCAACTTTCAACCTTCCCTGCCAGCTTCCCCACTGATTTTCTGGGGAAGCCAGCAGGGATGGACACAAATGGTGATCATGTGATCGTGGAGCGCTGCAACTGATTGTAAGTGCAATCTGGTTGCCCAGTGCTCAGATCGTGATCACATGACCACGGGGGTGCTAGGACGGCTAGAATTCCAAGGACTGGTCATAGCCACCATTCGTTCAGCACTATCATAACTTCAAACAGTCACTGAACAAATGGTCGTAAGTCGAGGACTACCTGTATAGGATTGCACAGTGATGTTTATAAGCTGCATCTACTTTCTCAAGATAAAGCAGGTTGCACAGAGAGACATGACCAGAACAGTTCTTTGAAACTTTGAAATACTGAAAAAAGGAACCAATAAAAGCCACTGTAAAGGGAGAGACTAAGTCCAAATATACTCTTAGCTTGTAGCTTACCACATTACAATACAGGTGGTTGATAGTGAGCACAATTCAGGCAAATCTAGGACCTTTTAAGCCCCATTTATTTCAGTATATCACAGCCTTTTAAGTGCATACTGTAAGGTTAATTGATCAATGGGGGCTTACCATTAAGGAGATTAATGTTTCCCCAGTGAAATCAACCCAACATGAGACTATCTAGCTTCAGCAAGAGCATCTATTATGCATATGGTGCAGAATTGGAAGGAATACAAAAACCAATTGTGGTTTGAACTTTTAGGAAGATTGTCCAAACAGAGTTATGCCTCCTAGGGGGGAAACTATAATTTGATTTTGTCATAGTTTTGCTAAAGTTGCACTCTTTTGGAATCATCCATAAGCTGAGGCAAAATACACTTAATATTCTGGGATAAATTAAATATAGTGTTAATTTTATATTACCTTTCATTTGATGAAAGAACATGTCTATCTGTTGTTGTCAGGGATAGCCAAGGAAATGTAGAAAACTTCAGACATTTCACTACATGTTTCACTGGAAGAAAAAAACAAAGAATTCTGCATGTGTAAATTACTCAAGTGCTTTCATCATAGGAACAGGCAGTGTTTATACAACAGTGTTTATACCACCCTACTTACCTATTTTTAAAAAAAATCTAGTACTGCTAATGCTCAATTTCAAAGTTCTACATTAAAAAGTAATCACATATGTTTGAAACTAGATTTTAAATATTTATTTATTATTTAATTTGCTATAGAGCAGCTTTTTAATACAGAAAAAAATGTGATGCTGGAAACCTACAATTGGATGGCTTATGCTATTTACGTAAGTTCTGAGACATTCAAAGCATGGTTCAAACTCTGTTGAATTCGCTCAGACACCTGATGTAGCACGGATTGATAAAACGTTTTCTTCCATACTAGGAGTAATTCACAAAATAATTGATTGCCCTCTTATACCCATGTAGTTTAATTCTGCAATTTCTTTTTCCCATGCTTCCCACAGTTTAACAGACTTCTTGACTTGTACTTTTGGCCTTGAAGCTGGAGGAATGGTAATTGTTGACATATCTGACATCCCAACCCTCACACTTCGCAGTTCAATATTCATTCATTCATTCATTCATTCATTCATTCATTCATTCATTCATTCATTCATTCATTCTCCACCTCAATGTCTGCATGATTCAATGCTCTTCTTTCTTGTGAGCCCTTTGAGGCAGGCAAGAATGTTCTTTACTGTTGTAGGCTAGAATAACAGAATCTTCAAGACCTGTCAGAGTCATTCTCTACTCTATCTTATACCAAATAAAATCAAGATGGAATTATTTTGACTTTCTTTCTCATGCTTTTTCTTTTCTTGGGTCTAATTCCTCTCTTAATGGTTCAATTATTCCTGCTCCTTCCCAAAGCAAGGTCTAGATTCTTTCACTTTCCTCTTTTTGTTTAAACTACTCATTATTTCATACTCAGTTTATTGCTTTACTGGGTATTATTCTTTCAACAACTTTAAGTATTCTTACCCTCAGGTTCTCCTTTTCTTTAATTCCATTCAGTCTTTACACTGCTGAATCAACATTTACACTAGTCTCTCTTTTTATGTGAAGTTCAATTTTAGCCAACTCTGCCAATTTTTTTCAGCAAAACGTTATTCCAAAATTGCTTAAAACTTTCATGAAAATTCTATCTACCCCATCAGAACATTCTATCCACAGCTGTGTCACAGATCTCATTGCCATAACAACAAAACAATACACAAAACTGAAAACTAAACAGAGAAAAAAGGTAACACTGAAGCTCAGTATTACCAACAAGCTAAAAGAAAATTAAGTAAACTTATCATGCCTTGACACATTTAAAAGAAATAGTCTGATCATTAATATCTACTACTCCTCACAGCAGAAACACATATATTGATTCTTTTATATGCTGAGAATGCAGCAATCCTTTCTATCACACCACTGGATCTGAGGAGAAGCTTAGAGAAGCTTGTTCTGTATTGGTCAGAATAAGAACTGCAAATTAATTAATATAAAACAAAAACAATGGTTTCTGCTAAAAGGCTAAAAATCTACCCCTGAAAAATGGATGGATACTTAATATATCCTCGAGGACATATTCAGAAAATGTGACCAATTGGTCCAAAGGAACATATCAGCCATTCTTTATTTATTTTTATTTATTTATTTGGCTTGTATGCCGCCCATC